CCCCTCCACCTACCAATAACCAACCAACACTAACCCTACATCTAGCACCACCAAACCAACACTAACCCTCCATCTACAAGCACCCAACACCACCTACCAGCACCCAGCCAACATCACTGCTCCTCCACCTACCAGTAACCAACCAACACTAACCCTCCATCTACAAGCACCCAACACCACCTACCAGCACCCAGCCAACATCACTGCTGCTCCACCTACCAGTAACCAACCAACACTAACCCTCCATCTACCAGCACCCAACATCAACATCACTGCTGCTCCACCTACCAGCACCCAACCAACATCGCTGCTGCTGCTCCACCTACCAGTAACCAACCAAAACTAACCCTCTATCTACCACCACCCAACCAACACTAGCCCTCCATCTACAAGCACCCAACATCATTGTGACGAGAGGGGCGGGGCCGAGAGCCGTGGGAACGGAGCGAGGCTGGTGGAGTAAATGCTAATGAACGACACCTGCGCCACTCACCGGTCTCGAGTCCCACGGAGGAGCTCCGGAAGGATAAAAGGAGGAGTGACGACACAAACGTTTGTTACAATCATCTACCAGCACCCAGCCAACATCACTGCTGCTCCACCTACCAGCACCCAACCAACACTAACCCTCTATCTACAAGCACCCAACATCAACATCACTGCTGCTCCACCTACCAGCACCCAGCCAACATATCTGACCCTCCACCTGTAACATCATTGGTCATCACCACTCCTGACCTGTACCATCATTGATCCTCTTCCTGCAGCACTCTTGACATGCAACATCAGTAATATAATTCATTACAATTATTATTTTTCTAATATACATTGCATATTCTGTTTAGTATGGCTTCTTATATAATATGGCAGTAGAATACACATTTAGCATGGTACCTTATTGCTGGCTTGATAGAAACATACCTTGTTATGTTTTCAATTTCACCATGGTCCCTTCAGCACTGCTGACCGGCTTCAACCCTTATGCTCCATCACATATCAGTCCTGTGACATCACTGAGCTTCTACAGTAGATTACTAATATAACTACTAAAACAGATGTAAGTATACAATACAGTGACAAAATATTTAGTATGATTACTTCTATTATAGAGCAGTCATATAATAGATTTGATATTTAGCATGCTTCTCTATTTAATCTAGTACACTTCCTTTTTCAAAACTGCTTGCCTGCTTATTTATTATTTATTTTACTTGTCTTTCAATCCCACTTAGGTCTATTAATTTTTCTCTGCCGTTGTCATCAATCTAAAATGCAGCTGAGTTAAAACATAACAGGTAATGGTCACAAAAATCCCAAAATCACAATGCCTAAAACACTCCACATATTTCTGCATACTCAAATCTACACTCTAAAACTTTTAATAGGATGCAATGTAAAAAAAAAAAAACACAATGTTATTTTATTCTTTGTTACACATTCAAAAGGAAAACAGAGGATGTCCTCGTTTTACCATTTAAGCCGAACGCTGTTAACATGCACCAATGTTGTGTTCATATAGTAATATTTAACTTCCCTCAAACTCAAACTGAAAAAAAAAACAATTTCTCTACTTCCATAACGACGGATGAAACTGCATTAAGGGAAACGATTTTAATAAGATGCCCCTGATTTGTTTTGTGTCATTAACTTTATCTACATATACATTATCTGTTAACTGATTAACTTTATATTCCCCCAAATATACTAAATTACATAGAAATAATCCACTAGCATACTTTATAAAACAAAGTAATTTAATCCAGATGTACTGATGATATACAATCTCATTATTTAAACGTCTTAACTTTTAAAAGTGCATCGCAAACGGTCTGTTCAGCTGTAACTCTATCGCGCTGCTAGTGTTTGGTGCTAACTTCCGGGAACTATTGAGAGGCTCCATGATCCGCCATTGCTGTGGGAAAAAACGGACCATTGGAGTGAACGGAGTTGACGCAACTCTCTCTCTCTCTATGGCTCTGTGAAGTACGATGTGACGTCAAAAAAAAAAAATTGTTGAGCCGTTTTGGCGGAAGTGACAAACTGCAAGCTTTGAACGCTTATATTTTCTAAATGCGAATTTTGTCACTGTTTTGGAGCACACTGCCTTATAGATAACCTTAAGACTAACATATTGATACTAACACCCAAAAAAAACTTTAATTTTGATTTCATGGGGACTTTAAGTGTCTTTTTGGTGCCACTGTATATAGATAGTATGAGTGGTACTGAAATTCTTAATGAGAATGTCATTATGCCGTTTGAGGTAATGGTGCAAATTCCCACTGCTAATTAGAAAAATATATTTCTTTATTTTCCAAGAATAAATGATCGATCATACAAATATATTTCTGTAACTCTACAATCTACAAACACAAATCACACTCATGCCGCAATACAGTAAACAGTTTAGAAGTCATGGAGGATTTTCTAAAGCAGTACACTCTAAAAAATGCTGGGTTAAATATAATAAAAAGGGACAAACCCAGCTATTGGGTTGTTGTGACCCAGCGGTTGGGTTGTTTTGACTCGAAACAACCCAACCGCTAGGTCAAAACAATCCAATAGCTGGGTTTGTCCCTTTTTAACCCAGCATTTTTAGAGTGTATGTCAATCACACATCAAGGGAAATCCAAGGCCATGAATTCCAGCAAGCTTCTGGGCAGGTGAAGGCTTGAGAGGTAGTGTGAATGTCTGAATGTGAGAGACAAAAGAAAGAAAAAGCATAAAAAAATAAATGTATTTAAATCACATAAATTGAACAAATATCAAAGAATTACTGTATATACATTTTTTTTTATGAAGCATTAGAAGTTTCCTTTCAAAATACCTTAAAGAGCACTGTCCTTTAACTTTCTCAGCTCTGCAGATTGAGCGCATAGTGGGTAGGTAGTCCATGGAAAGAACATGTTTATTACTATGACAATAGAACTTTTTGCTGGAGATCAGATCGGATACAATCTCATTGCGCTTCTGGACACCACTATAAAAAGTAAAAATCAGATACAACAAAAAATGAGTGTACACATAATATACACACAGATGAAGTTAAAGCTTCATTAATATTTTAATTTACAATACACACCTAGGTTCACAGAATTTGCATCGACACATTCTGAGGGTTTTTTTGTCAGATGGCAGAGACAGGGCACAAATCATTTGTTCCCATCTCTCTGAAGACAACTCCTTCCTCAGTCTTGTGGCTTCCATCCAGATCCTAGAGAGTTCAGTCCGACACTGATGGAAACCCAAACCTTCCACAATGGCCAATATCTGGGATGAATTCTCAAAACATTGTCCGATCTGCGCCTCTCTTGGTAAGTCCAATAAGCCGTCCTTCATTGAGGCGCCCATCCAACCAAGAGGTTCCGACTTACAAATTCCAGTTCCTCTGAGAGATGGTCTTTGTAAATAAGCATCCAGAAAAGACATGTTTTCAAAAAACTTTGCAATGCACACCATGTGCTGAAAAACCAGCATGAGTGATTCGTCTTGTCCATGGACATCTGTTTCGGAAGCCAAATGTTTTGTTTGTTTTGAAGGGACTGAGGACTTATAAGATGCATCCAAAGAGAAAAGTTTGAGATGTGGGGTTGAATGTGGGTAAGAAAAAGTTTTTGGCTCACAAGATGACAAATGTTTTTTTCTTCTGCATGTAGACAGCCTGTCTGGTCTAACCTCATGTACATTTGTTGAGGTCTGTAACATCAAGCCTTTGATTGGCTTTTCTCCTTTTGTCTTGAGATTTATTGACTGTTGCTGATAAGAAGATTGAGATGAGAAATGTGAAGAAAAGAGACTTTTGATGTTAGAGTACAGTAGACCTGCTCCCATTTTCTCTGCCAGGATCTCCAGATACCTGCTGTTTTCCAGCTCAGTCCAGGATCCACACTGTGGAATATAAAACAGATTACATGCATCAATTTCTGCTTATGAATCAGTGCAAGTGGTTTACTAGCTCTGCGACACTATCAGCATAAAGTGTTGTCCACTTTGTTGCTTATTCATGTTAAGATCCACCCACTAAGGGTGTATTCACACCTGTCTTGTTTGGTTCTATTGAATCAAACTCAAGTTCGTTTCCCCTCTTGATGCGGACCTTGTTGGCAGGTGTGAATACAGCAATCGCACTCGGGTGCGGACCAAACAACGGTACCAGGACCCAGCTGAAGAGGTGGTCTCGGTCCGCTTCCAAACAAACTCTGGTACGGTTCGTTTAAGGTGTGAATATGACCCGACCTTAATCCGATCCAATTGCAGAAATCACGCTCAAAAACAGACAGCTCGCGCATATTGACGTGACGTGACATGTGGCCAAGTATGGTTACCCATACTAGGAATTAGTGCTCTGCATTTAACCCATCCTTAGTGCACACACACAGCAGTGAACACACACACACCGTGAACACACAACCAGAGCAGTGGGCAGCCATTTTATGCTGCGGCGCCCGGGGAGCAGTTGGGGGTTCGGTGCCTTGCTCAAGGGCACCTCAGTCGTGGTATTAAAGGTGGAAGAGAGCGCTGTACATTCACTCCCCCCACCTACACCTATGCACCTAATAGCGCACATTTATATAGGTTAAATGTTTAAACTAACATTGTGATATGCTTTAAGTATTTTATATCTGTAGATTTTATTTTCGGCAAGTCGTAATTACAACATCGTATGACATTGTCTCATATGATGCTCATAAGTTTCTTCATATTGCATTAGTATCTGATAACACCAAATCATTTCAAGAATAAAAATTGCACTACGAAAGATCTCCATGTGCCTATTTTTGCACTTCCCGTTTTTCCCTGCTTGAGAATTTCTGTCCAATGAATGGATGACCTTAGTACACGTGTGGTTTTGTTTACAATTTCTTGCAAAAAAGAGCAGCATGAAAGTGAATCGCACCAAAAAAAAAAAAATCAACATTATATTTGGTCTGGACAAAAGCAAGTGAACTCGTGGACTTTCCTGGTGTGCATACACCCTAAGGGGTATAGTTCACCCAAAAATGAAAATTTTCTCAATTTACTCTTCCTCATTTCATCCCACATATATGACTTTCTTTCTTCAGATGAACACAACCGCAGATTTTTAGAAAAATAATACAAGTAAACAGGTTTCAAATTTTGATGCTTCCAAACTTCTGAAGCAAAGCAGTAGGTGTGTGTAAAGAAAAAACTAATATTTTATGGGGGTTTTTTTACTATAAACAATCGCTTTCAGCCAATAGGTCTATATGTGTTCATTAGAGGGTCAAGTTTGCTTGATGTAAATGTAAGTGCGTTGTGAAGCTCATGCGAGATGTGACAGAAACATTACAGAGATGGATTATATTTCTAAAAATCTTTGTGAAAGAAAGTCACACATCTGGGAATAGAGGACAGGTGAAGTGACCAACCACACGGGTTAAAGCAAAAAAAAAAAATCTTCCAAACCCCATTCCACAGCCATACCTGTCACACACCCAGTTTAAGAGCAGTGTTTTTCTTCTTGTAATTAGGAGCGCTTTCCTCCTAATTAAAAAAAATGTAGGAGCACCTTCTGATCAATAATAAAAAATTCTGATAAAAAATTAGCCTTCCTAATATGAGGTGACATTTGACTCAAAGTGATTTACAGGGGCATTTTCTTTTTACCTTTGTAATGGCATTTTTCTAATTTTATTAAATGTATGCAGTGTTTCCTAGGATTTTTTCCAGCTGTGGTGGCAGGACTATTTCTCATGGACCACGCCCCCTCCCCACCAAAGAATAAAAAGAGCAGCATGAAAGTGAATCGCACCAAAAAAAAAAAAAATCAACATTATATTTGGTCTGGACCAAAGCAAGTGAACTCGTGGACTTTCCTGGTGTGCATACACCCTAAGGGGTATAGTTCACCCAAAAATGAAAATTTTCTCAATTTACTCTTCCTCATTTCATCCCACATATATGACTTTCTTTCTTCAGATGAACACAACCGCAGATTTTTAGAAAAATAATACAAGTAAACAGGTTTCAAATTTTGATGCTTCCAAACTTCTGAAGCAAAGCAGTAGGTGTGTGTAAAGAAAAAACTAATATTTTATGGGGGTTTTTTTACTATAAACAATCGCTTTCAGCCAATAGGTCTATATGTGTTCATTAGAGGGTCAAGTTTGCTTGATGTAAATGTAAGTGCGTTGTGAAGCTCATGCGAGATGTGACAGAAACATTACAGAGATGGATTATATTTCTAAAAATCTTTGTGAAAGAAAGTCACACATCTGGGAATAGAGGACAGGTGAAGTGACCAACCACACGGGTTAAAGCAAAAAAAAAAAAATCTTCCAAACCCCATTCCACAGCCATACCTGTCACACACCCAGTTTAAGAGCAGTG